TTGTCCAGCGCGGCCTTCTGCTGCTGGATCTCCTCCCGCCGCGCCGCCAGCACCCCACGCGCCTTGGCCTCAGAGGCCTTGGCCCTGGCGAGGCGCTGCGAGATGTGCATCTGCACAGCCTCGGGCGGCTTACTCGCTGTGACCAGCTGCTGCACCTCCTCAATCTTCTGGTCTGCCAGCTGCTTGTCGGCCTCGGTCGTGGCGAACTTCGAAGCGTTGCGCCAAAACGCCAAGCGCGACTGGAGCTCCTTGGCGTGGTCGGGCACAATGGGGCCCTCAGACGGCGGCGGGGCAGGAACTGGCTCAGCGTGCGTGAGCTGCGCCAGCTGCTTGGCCATGGTCTGGACCATCTTGGACAAATCCTTGAGCTCCTTACTCTGGCCGCCCACGAGCGTGCTGGGTGGGCCTGCTGCCCACTTCGAAGACGGCGGCAGCTTGGGACCACCTCCTCCAGCAATGGCCTTTTCGTGGGCCACCTTGGCCGCTCGGATGGCGCCTGGCGGGGCTGGAGCACCACAGGGGCATCGAACCCTCGACGCCCAGTTCTCACTCCGAGAGCATTTCCCGCAAGACCAGCGCGGTCCCTTGGGACCAGACAAAACATCCTTGCTGACCATCGAACGTGTAAAAGTGCGCAAAATGTGGGGGATGAAACCCCAGTGCAGTACCAGAAAAGCTCTGGCGGATCGCTGTCGGGGCCGCTGCCTCTGCGAGGCTCCCCAGTGCCAAAAACTCGTTGTCCGCTGCTGACCTTGGGCCACGCTACGGACTTGAGCCAAAATGGCTACGGACTCTTCCTCCTCCTCCTCCTCCTCCTCCTCCTCCTCCTCCTCCTCCTCATAATACTCATCCTCCTCCTCCTCCTCCTTCTACTCCTTCTCCTCCTCCTCCTTCTCCTCCTGTCTCCTCCTCCTCCTCCTCCTCCTCCTCCTCCTCATCCTTTCTCCTTCTCTCCCCTCCTCCTCCTCCTCCTCCATATCCTCCTCTCCTCCTCCTCCTCCTCCTCCCTCGTTCCCTCCCCCTCACCCTCCTCCTCCTCCCCCTCATCATCCTCCTCCTTCTCCTTCTCCGCCTCCACCTCTGTCTCCTCCTCCCTTTCCTCCTCCCCCCTCCTCCCCCTCCTCCTCCTCCTCCTCCTCCTCCTCCTCCTCCTCCTCCTCCTCCTCCTCCTCCTCCTGCGCCCCCTCCTTCTCATCTCATTCACCTAAGTTGGACACAACCTCATGGCCAGAGTGCACAAGCGCATGGCTGCTGGTGTTTGTGCAGTTTGCGCTTAGCCCAGAATTAAGCGCCAGCGCCCACCGCCACCCCTACGGTCAGTGAAGATAGCCTCGCGTCGGCAAGAGCTCGAGCGTGTCACGGGCCACTGCTCAATAGATGACTTAATTCGAGACAACCCGCGCCCCGGTAGGATGCTAGTTTCCGGTTGTAACGTTCCCCTCCCGATTCCGACCTCGAGTTTCCCATCCCTCCGAATCAGTAGTGAGACTGTGCACCAATCACATTCTATAGTGATGATGATGAATCAGCTACGGTGCGCTAAGTATGCTCGCTTGGCTAGTTGCATGACCACAGGGGGGGGGCTCCACCAGCTCCCAGTCCCTTGCCCAGAGGGAGGTCTGGCTTAAGACAGTGAACGGAGGGGGCTGCGCAGGCTTTCGAACTGCCGAACCCCGAATGCGTCGACCAAGGTTTGGCCCTCGGGGTGCCCGATTAAACCTTTAGTTCCCCGCCCAGTTAGACGGGCAGGCCCTCACAGCTGGAGGCCCCCGGTCTCAAAGGCCGCGGCGTGTCTTGCTGCCACTGCCACGACCGCGCCCCTCGGCGGGCCGATCATCCTCCTACTCCTCCTGCTCCTCCTCCTCAACCTCCGCCTCCCCCTCCCCCTCCCCCCCTCCCCCTCCTCCTCCTCCTCCTCCCTCCTCCTCCTCCTCCTCCTCCTCCTCCTCCTCCCCTCTCCTGCTCCTCCTCCTCCTTCCCCTCCTCCTCCTCCTCCCTCCTCCTCCTCCTCCTCCTCCTCCTCCTCCTCCTCCTCTCCTCCTCCTCCTCCTCCTCCTCTCCTCCTCCTCCTCCTTATCCTCCTCCTCCTCCCCCTTCTCCTCCTCATCCCCCTCCTCCTCCTCATCCTCTTCCTCCTACTCCTCGCGCGGGGACGCGCACAGAGGAAAGGACAGGCCCCGACCTCCCCTCCTCCTCCTCCTCCCCTCCTTATCCTCCTCCTCCTCCTCCTACCTATCCTCCTCCTTCTCCTCCTCCCCCTCCTTCTCCTCCTCCTCCTCCTTCTCCTCCTCCTCCTCCTCTCCGTCCTCTTCCCCGTCTGAATTAATCGCGGTGAAGACCGTGACTTGCGCCGTGTGGGAACTAGCTATGCCTGGGCACTCCGCGACGGCGCCCGCGCGAATCGCGACGTGCAGGGCCCCCTACACCCCTCCAGCACCCCCCACCCCATGGGTCACGCCCCGTCTTCGCCAGCGGACATATGAAACAACAGGCTCCAGTCCTCGTATGTGTCAGATTCCTCCTCCTCCTGCTCCTCCTCCTCCTCCTCCTTCGCTTCCTCCTCTTCCTCCTCTTCCTCCTTCTTCTCCTCCTTCTCCTCCTCCTCCACCTCCTCCTCCTCTTCGGCGGCCGCAGGGCCGATTCACGAGGTCGTGTTTTATGAAGTCGGAAAGCTCCCCGCAGAACTCGACGCCAGTTGGTCCACCTCCTCGCGCGGGGACGCGCACAGAGGAAAGGACAGGCCCCGACCTCCTCCTCCTCCTCCTCCACGCCCTCCTCCTCGTTCTCCTCGTTCTCCTCCTCCTCCTCCTCCTCCTCCTCCTCCTCCTCCTCCTCCTCCTCCTCCTCCTCCTCCTCCTCATCCTCCCTCTCCTCCTCCTCCTCCCCCATCCTCCTCCTTCTCCTCCTGCTCCTCCTCCAACTCCTCCTTCTCCTCTTCCTCCTCCACCTCCTCCTCTTACTCCTCCTCCTTCCCCCATCCTCCTCCAGCTCCTTCTCCAGCTCCTCCTCCTCCTCCTCCTCCTCCTCCTCCTCCTCCTCCTCATCATCATCATCATCATCATCATCATCATCATCATCATCATCATCATCATCATCATCATCAACATCATCATCATCATCATCATCATCATCATCATCATCATCAGCATCATCATCATCATCATCAGCATCAGCATCAGCATCGTCATCATCATCATCCTCATCATCATCATCGTCATCAGCAGCACCATCAACAGCATCATCACCATCAGCAGCAGTATCATCTTCATCCGCATCATCATCATTATCAGCAGCAGCATCATCATCAACAGTAGTATCAGAATCATCATCAGCCGCAGCATCAGCATCAGCATCAGCATCAGCATCATCACCATCGTCATCATCACCAGCATCATCAGCATCTGTATCATCATCATGAGCATCATCACCATCACCATCATCATCTTCATCATCAGCATCATCATCATCAGCATCAGCATCAGCATCAGCATCAGCATCATCGTCATCGTCATCATCATCATCATCATCATCATCATCATCATCATCATCATCATCATCATCAGCATCATCATCATCATCATCATCATCATCATCATCATCATCATCACCACCATCATCATCATCATCATCCCCCTCCTCTTCCTCCTTCTTCTCATCCTCCTCCTTCTCCACTTCCTCCTTCTCCTCGCCCCAGGGGGAGGGGCCCGGCGCGCCTACGACCACGAAGCTCAGGAGCTGCTTCGCCCTCGCCGTATCCCCGGAGGCCAGGGCCACGTCCGCCTCGTGAGCCCGCCGGTATCGTCGTCGCCGTCGCCGTCGTTTTCGCCGCCATGGCCACCACCGCCGCCACCGCCACCAGCGTCTTCGTCGTCGTCACAATCGTCGTTGTCGTCGCTGCTGCCGCCGTCGCCGGCGTCGTCGCTGCCGCCGCCCTTGCCGTCGCCGTCGGAGAAGAAGAAGAAGAAGAAGAAGAATAGGAAGAAGAGGAAGAAGAAGAAGAAGCAGCGTGGAAGAGAAGGAGGAGACGATGACGACGACGAGAAGGACGGAGGAAGGAGGAGGGAAAGGGAGGGAAGAAGTGAGGGAGGGAAAGGGAGGGGCGGAGGGGGGGAGAGGGGAAAGCGAAGGAGAAAATGGCGGAGGAGGGAAGCAAGTTAGGGAGGACGACGAGAGCGAGGACGAGGAGCGGCAGGAGGAGAAAGGGCACAGCTCGGAGCCGAGGTGGACGGGCGCGAGCGAGTCGGCGGGTGGAACACCCCGTCCAGGAGAACGGGTCGGGACCTCCTCCTCCAACTCCGCCTTCTCCAACTCCCCCTCCTCCTCCACCTCCTCCTCCTCCTCCTCCCTCCTCCCTCCTCCCTCCTCCCTCCTCCCTCCTCCCTCCTCCCTCCTCCCTCCTCCTCCTCCTCCTCCTCCTCTCTCCTCCTCCTCCTCCTCCTCCTCCTCCTCCTCCTCCTCCTCCTCCTCCTCCTCCTCCTCCTCCTCTCCCCTCCTCCTCCCTCCTCCCCTCTCCTCCTCCTCCTCCTCTCTCCTCCTCCTCCTCCTCCTCCTCCTCCTCCTCCTCCTCAGGATCTGAGGAGGGCAAGCCGAGACCACGGCGGCCCTCCCTGGAGATGTCGCATCCTCGTCCGGGACTGCTGGGGGCTGCTGGCCGCCAGGACTGGATCCGCCTCGAAAAATGCGGGGTCAGGGTGGACCCCCAAGGGGTGCGCACCGATGTTGACTGGAGTTGGGTCTGGCAGGGGGGTCGACGTTGTACGGCCAGATCTGGGACAGAAAAGCACCCTTCAAGAGCATGAGACCCTCCGCCGACCACGACACACAGAACATCCAAGCGTACCGTCCCCAGGATGCACAAGAACGTCCAACAGACACGAAGAACACTAGGGCACCCTCCCCGAATCGACCACGATCTCATACCTCGGTCCGACTGTACGCTTGAGTGCTCGCGCGCATGCCGAAATGATATCCTGGCGCGGGGTCGAGAAGGAACAGACATTGGACCAGCACTGCTATGCCGTGGAAGCAGCCACCAAACCTCACGGAACATGTTTCTGCTGATGTTCATGCTCATGCTCATTATCATCTCTGTAGATGGATCGAGCAGGTCCTCCTGGCTGCTTTCAAAAAACGGGCATCCGCCGCGCAAGCTGTAAACGGGACTTGCCTCCTTTACGCGGCCGCCGGCCATCTCCAGGGCCACCCAGCTGTAAAAGACGTTGCTGGGCTGCTACGTTGCGTTGCTGGTCTCTTCATTTCTATGTGTCGCTCTCTCTATACCTCTCTCTCTCTCTCTCTCCCTCTCTGCTCTCTCTCTCTCTCTCTCTCTCTCTCCATTTATATATATATATATATATATATTGACCTCTCATTCTCTCTCTCACTCTCTTGCGTACGTTCTCTCTCTCCCTCTCACACTGCAGATTCGCCGCCCCAACGGGCTAGAGGCGTGCTACGATCTCCGGTAACAAGTTTACAATGTAACAAGTTTGCGCGCGCGAGGCGGCCCATGGGGGGCCCGACGCGACAAGTACCCCGCCAAAGTCCCGGCAAGTGCCTGCCAGAGATGCCGGAGGCCTCCCAGACGGCCCAAGAGGCGCTCAAGTCGGCCTCAAGATATCGCCTAGACGGTCCAAGGGAGTCCTGGAAAGATCGGCCGACGATGCCACAACATCGCTCCAAGACGCCCACCATGGCCTCCAGACGCCCCCGAAGGCCTCCAAAAGCACTCCCAAGAGGCACAATTGATCGATTCCCCTTAGGTTTTGGACACATGTTCGGGTTTCTCCTTTTTCGGCTTCCCGACGCTCCAAGATGGCCTAAGAGGCTCCCAAGATCGCCCCAAGAGGGTCCAAGAGGACCCCAAGACAGCCCCAAGACGGCCCAAGACGGTTCCAAGACAGCCCAAGAGGCGCCCAAGACGGCCCAAGAGAGCCTCAAAACGGCCCCAAGAGGGGCCCAAGAAGGTGACCAGGAACCGAAAAGTCCAGCCTACAGTCCCAAGAGGCCCCCAGGAGACCCCAAGAGGCCCCCCAGAGACCCCAAGGGGCCCCCAAGAGGCACCCCAAGAAGCCCCAAGAGGCCCCCAAGAGGCCCCAAGAGGCCCCAACACGGCCCCCAAAAGGCTTCAAAACTGCCTCCCAAAAGGCCCCTGAGAGGCCAACCACGAGAGCCCAACCAACATCCGGGAGGCCTCTGACCCGCCACCCACCACCTCCGAAAAATGGCAGCCGCCCAACCGCACCGCATTGACAACAACACCCCGACAAATGACAACGGCGAGGCAATATGGGCCGGCGGAATGAGCGAAGCGATAAAACACTTTCTACACACATATATATATATATACATATTATATATATGCATACATATATATATATATATATATATCCCTGCCTCCCTTCATCAATCCCTCTCTCTCTCTCTCGCCTTCCCCCTTCTATACGTACGCAAAACAAACGCATAGATGTATCGTTGGTTATGTGTGTCTCTCTCTCTCTCTCGTTCTCTCCCTCTCTCCCTCTCTATCCGTGTACGTATACATGTATAACCTCATGCCCGTGAGAATAAACACTAGGGGATAATAAAGTTCGGGGTTCAGGGAGAGATAATAAAAGTAGCCCAGCAGACCTCAGCATAATCTCGAAGTAAGAGATGATCAAGAGGAGACCAAGCCGAGCACGTTTTGAGACATCCTTGGCGTTTAGTTTTCATAGAAATATCCTCAACAATGGCTTATCTCTCATGAAAATTGTTTTTTGTAAGTGCTCGTGTAGGGTAGCTCATGTGCCTCAATTTCCATGGATAATCAACCCCAGAGATAAAAAAGTTCAGGCGAGCGTGGGGACAGAGAGAAATATAAAAGAAGAAGAATACAGTAGAAGAATAATAAGAAAGAAGAAGAAGAGGAGAATAAGAAGAGGACGAAGAAAGGAAAAATCCAAAGTTCCAAATCTATCAATTTTAATTTACAAACGCTTTATGAACATTGATTTTTTAAGTGCTCGTGTAGGGTAGCTCATGTGCTTCATTTTCCATGGATAATCATACCCAGGGATAAAAAAGTTCAGGCGAGCGTGAGGACAGATAGAAATATCAAAGAAGAAGAGGAAAGTAGAAGAATAATAAGAACATTGCTCGTTTCGTTTGAGTCTGCCTCCCAAAATTATTGGTTTCGCTTGACACATCCTGAAAAAGTGTGATCGCTTCGCTTGATGTTGCTATATCAACATCGCTTGATGTTGCTATCTCAACATAGCGTTTCGAGGTGATAATGAAGTTCGGCCTCAGCGCTCGCCGCCCAATTTGAATTTTGTATAGGGCGACGATAATCAACTCTAAACACTGAAGGGGGGGGGTCCCTTTATTATCATCGGCATGCGGTTACACATGCATGTGTGTATACAGATCACAGATATATGTTTAAGTATCCATAGAATTCCCTCTCTCGCTTGCCTTGTCTTGTCTCTTCTTGTATTGCCTCATCTTTAAAGTATCCTGCCGCATGTCTCTCCAGTACTCTTGTTCTGCCGGGTCGTCCGAAGTAGACTCTGGTTTCCCATGGGGACCGCCACCATTTGGCAAAGAGGCCCAAGATGCCACCCCCAAGGAGGCCGCGAAGTGGGGTCCGAGAGCCCAAGACGGCTCATGATGCCCCGAGACGTGATCAAGACTCGACGGATCCAAGAGGCATCCAAGCACTCCCACGAAAAGAATCGCAGGACGCCCCAAGAGGGAAAAACAAGCATTGAAGAATATAACTATGTGATTCAATGCTTTTTGCCTGTCGTGCGTGCTGCTCCCAAGACGTCCCATGATGTATTCCAGAAAGTCCTCAGATGTCCCAAGATGCCGCCTGCATTGCCAACGATGGTCCAACACTGCCCCAGAACGATCCAAGATGCCCCCAAGAGACCCCAAGAGTCCCCCGGAAATTCCAACATTGCCCCAGGATGCCCCCAAGAGGCCCAGAAAGGCCCAAAGATGGCCCCACGAGGCTCACAACAAGGCTCCCGAGAAGCCCCACCATGGCCCGACGTCTGCGGATGGCTCCTCTGTGGAGGGGGAGGGGCGCGACGGCGGTAGAGAGCGCAGCCGCTCATGAAAATACAGGCGAGCTGAAGAGGACCGCTCCGAATACGAGCACTACGTCTACTCAAGCGCGCGCATCGGCGGCGACGACGGGGACGGATAAGCTCCAGGTGCGGGCACGACACAGATTCAACAGGGAGCCTCGTCGAAGACACGGACTATCGGCGCCCCTGGGTACACGTCTTTGGGGGACAACGAGGTACCGATACCGCTACCCCCCAGACCACTCCCTGGGTGCGCTCTGACCAGGACTTCGAGGCGAATCCAGCGGTGCCGACGAGGGCCTCTCAGGAAGCCCGAGAGGGGGAAAACGGCCGAAGGGTAGCGGTGTGGGTACCCATCGGTCGGAAGAAGTAGGTAGAAACATGAAGTAGGAAGGCGTTGAAAGTAGATTGGGTGTCCGCCCGCCCCCTAAGGAGGACGGTAAAGGTGAAACCACTCGATCATTGAAGTAGGAAGGCGCTTTAAGCAGATTGGGACCTGGGAATCCAAAAATACATGCTTTCAACGACCGATGGGTGCCGTTTCCTCCTCTGAACCTTGTCCCCCCACTGGGCTACACGCTCCCTCCCGCCGCCTGCGGGCGGAGCACAACGCCCCGCCGCGCGCCGCTGCTGCGCGAAGGGGGCGGAGAGGAAGGAGGAGGAAGGAGGAGGAGGAAGGAGGAAGGAGGAGCAGGAGGAGGCTGAGGAGGATGAGGAGGAGGAGGAGGAGGAGGGGGAGGAGGGGAGGAGAAGGAGGAACAGGAGGAGGAGGAGGAGGAGGGGAGGAAGGAGGAGGAGGGAGGGAAGGAAGAGGAGGAGGAGGAAGGAGGAGGGGAGAGGGGGGAGGAAGGAGGAGAAGGAGGAGGAGGAGGAGGAGGGAGAGGAGGAGGAAGGACGAGGAGGAGGAGGAGGGAGGAGGGAGAGGAGGAGGAGGAGGAGGGGAGGGGAGGAAGAGGACGAGGAGGGGGCGGCGAAGGGGGCGGAGAAGGAGGAAGGAGGAGGAGGTGGGAGGTGGAAGGATGAGGAGGAGGAGGAGGAAGAGGGGGGGAGGAGGAGGAGGAGGAGGAGGAGGAGGAGGAGGAGGAGAAGGAGGAGGGGGAGAAGGAGGGGGAGGAGGAGGATTCGGATTCGGATTCGGAACGCTTGCGTAGCAAGATCAACACACTAAGCCTTGGGATGGAGGCCCCGCTCGAATCGACAAAGATACTCCCTCGTTTTCATGGTTATAAAGGCGGGTTTGCACGGTCTTGCAAGGCCTCTAAGCTGCTCACAGCCGAAACGCCCGCAAGACTTGCAAATCCAAACACCAGGTTTATCGTGATAAATCATAGCATGAAAGCTGTCAACCCATCCACCCCCCCAAATGAACTCCCGCCTGAGGCTGAAAGATATCCCCCACAACACAAGAGGGAGGCTCGCATCGCGAGCCTAGCCACGCGACGCGTCCTGCCTTGTTGCCGGTGTTCTTGCACCGCTGGCAGCTCTGCCCGCCCTCGGAGACGACGTGCTCCGATGTGAAAAGGGCGAGGGCAGCGGCAACAGGCGGCAGAGGGGTCGGAGGGGGAAGAGGAGGGGAAGGGGAAACACTGGGATCAGCGGCAGCGGGATCAGCGGCAGCGGCTTCAGCTTCGGACCTCCGTTTCTCGGCCATCTTGATCTCTTTGCTGGCGGCAGTCGATTCCAAGGTGGACCTCAATAAACGCTTCCGTGCGAGAGCAGCTTTCCTTTCCCAAGTTGCCAAACGATGACGGGTCTGCTCTGAAACTCGATGTTTGTCAGCAGCAACTCCTGCAAACTCATCGGCTACGATGTTCCCCGAATACATCCCGGGCAAGATATTTTTGTTCGCAATCTCGAGTGGTGTCAGATGCGACGGTGCCCAGAGAACTGTGACAAATTCTGGCGGCCGATCCTGCAGGTGCCTACCGATCTCTCTCCAAACTGGGGCGAGTGCTCCTCTAGGGCTCCTCCACCTGCCTTCCCACCACCCACGCACGACCTCATCGTTTTCTGAAACGAAAGTCACGTGGCCAGTAGTTAGACGGATCCCCAGTTCAAGAGCACAAAGTTCACCTCGAGGCACCGTTTGAGGCGAGCCAACCAGGGGCCCTAAAACAGCACAGTCAACAGCAAAAGGATCAAGAGTAGCGATTTTGACGATAGCCAACCCCACACGCCGAAGACGAACATCCCGAGACTCCTTGCCCCCAGACGCGTCCCCGCATAAAATTCGCCGGCCCAACGGGCCAGAGGCGTGCTAAGATCTCCGGTAACTTGTCAACAATATTTCTAGTTCGCGCGCGCGGAGCGGCCCCTGGGGGCCCCCGGGCGAAAAGCACCCCGGCAAGGTCCCGAGAGAAGCCCGGGAGAAGCCACCAGACCACTCCAGGGGAGGGTATTTTTCGACACCCCCCACGAGGATCGTGGCCTCCGAGGGGGGGGCCGCAATCGACTACCCCCAAGAAGAGCCCCCCAAGAGGCCCCGGGGGCCTCCAAAACGCCGCCAAGGAGCCCCAAGAGGCTCCCAAGAGGTCCCCAAGAGGCCCCCAAGAGGCCCTAAAGAGGGCTCCAGGGCCAGCGGCATGAGCGAAGCGATTAAATAATGGGCTGCGATTCTGCACCATGCCCAAGACACCCTGATAGAAGGTCTGCGGACAAATGTCCATTCATATCTGCATAATTGTGGTTCTCATTGCTGAAACCGCTGGTGACCCACTGTTCGGCGTCAACAGGTGGTTCCACCACCATCTTGCACCGGGGGATGAGACCGCGGCGCCAAAAACATGCTTCGATTTCGCTATGCTGGATCGCTTCCAAGACGAGCTCGTCGGATTCTTCGTACACTTTATGTCTTGTGTTCTTGGAACATAACCAATGCCGATGTACTGGGGTTCCTGGTTCGACTTGGCAGCGCGGGCAAAGGTTCGTAGACTGCAGACCTGCTTCTTGCTTGCGGGTCTCCAACCACGCGCCTCCAGCAGCTACGCAAAGAAGAAGTTCAGAGAGTTGCCTTCCGCGAGGCACATCTTGCAACTGGGTGAGCAAAATTCGGAGGCTCTGGTTGTCCACGCCGCCTTCCATGCCTGCTCCACAGTAATGAGCCGAAGCTTCTTGCCACTGTAGAGCTTGCAAACTGGCAGCGTAGTCATCCACGAGCCCCCTAGCCTGGTCCAAAGTGTGCAACTGGTTAGCATCAAAGTGCCAGGAGAAGTCAGGCCCATGCCAAATGTGCGGAGCTTCTGGTTCCCATCCGAGTAGGAGTAGTTGATGAATAAGAGCCCCTAGAGGCCCCCGGATGTGCCGAGCACGCCCGTTAGGTTCCAAACTCTTCATCTGCTCCACAACAAGAGGCCAGGCGCGCGCAATACCTGAGCGGGCCCCTGGTTTGTGTATCCACACATAGAGCCACTGTTGAAGACAAAGAAGCGGAAGCCGAACCCCAGGATCCAGCCCAGGCGCCCTGAGGTCCATGACGGTGGTGATACATCTACCTCGCTTGTTGCTGCCTGACGCAGCTGCTAGACGTCTACGCATGCCTAGTAGAATATCTCCAAAAATACCGCACGCTTGGGTCCCATATGTGGCCCCCGCTTGAGGCCCTGCTTGCTCGATACGCTTGATAACATGATACCGTTTAGAAGCAGCTCCAAACCTCCGAAGTTTGCGGCTTTGCTGAATAGCTTTACCAACACGCAGACGACGGACTTGGCGAGCTTGCCGTTTACCTGCGCTGGTATCGATGCCTAGATATGATGCTTGCAAAGCTGGTGTGAAGATGATGCCTTTCTTCTCCAGTCTCTGGGCAACCCTCTTGGCTACCCGATGGACTGAACGGAGCACCGCGCTCTTGCTGGCTAAAGACAGAGACCCCTGGTCAAAAAGGTCGGTGAGATCGCTGATGCTCTTAACCAAAGAATCTTCCACGCGCTTCTGAGACCTACAGCACCAATGTAAAGACCGTCGATCCAAATTATTTCTCCCATCCCTGGACTCATGCTATGCATCTGGTCCAGAAAAAAATAAATAAACACCTGGCAAACCTCGTCCCGCTCCGAATTCCCTGGGTAATGCTTTGAGCGGGTTGAAACCCTTCCGAATAAGCTCCTGGTTGTGCAAGAAGGCGCGCAGCAACGCACATCTGCAATTCAAGGAACAAGATGACGGGAGGGAAACCCAGCCTGAGTGCAGCGAGGATGAGGTTCTGAAACTTGATATTATCATAAAAGCTTTTAATATCTAAAACCGCCTGCCCATATGCGATCTGAAGTTTACCCGCGACCTCGGCGTCCAGCACCCTCTGCAACGCTTCGAGCAATGGGGAGTCGCCTTCAACTGCCGCATCCCAGGCTGGATTGGAGTCGCTTGACCACTGCTTGGTTAAATCATCGCGTGCCAAACTCCAGATACGGCAGGCAATTGGCAAGAGTCCTATGACGCTGTCTCCCGAAGACTTATTCGGAAGCACTCGCCCGATACATGCCATCAACTGCCACGGCCAAGTGAGTGACCCTTCTATTGCCTCATACAACAGCGCGAGATCACGCATGCCGTTTTCAGGAAGACGTTCGACATCTATGGGACTAAGTTGGTTTATACCCATACCTGCTTTAGCTTTCATCCTGCAGGCTGCTTTACGTATCTGTTGAGGCTCAAGAGGCACAAGTTGTTCAACTCTAGCTGCTTCTCTAACAATATTGAAAACTGCTTCCAAAGAACCAGGGTCGCATGCTTCCGATGCCCAAAGAGATTGAAACTGCTCGACCTTGACGTCGACTACATCTTTAGGATGAAAAAGCAGTTTACCCTGATCAACATATTCATCTGCAGCATATGGCACACTACGAAGACATCGGCGTACTGCGCCCAGCGAGCCCTCCTGGACGATCCAGCCCTGGAAAGACCGAAGCGAATCCTGAACAGCTCGTCGCCTAGCACGCTGCGCCACTTTCCCTGCCTGTATGCGCATATGTTCAACCAACAATGTGCTGTGCTTCGTGACATCCTTTAACAAGTGCACCCAAATGCTCCCAAGAAAAATTCTGGGCGCCAGGTATGATAACTGCCTGCACGCCCTCGGGAAAGCCATGAGACAACTTGCACGCAACTGCGCTAAGATGATTGACCTGCTGCGCGCCATTGCCTCGAACTCTGCGCCGATGTATCTCCCTAAGACAGCGCGCAGTCTAGACCACCAGGTCGCGACTTGATCGCTGAGCGGGGGTGTCTCTGAGATGCTCAGCTCTGCGCACGGTATGAATGACAAGCTGCGGGAAATCTGCTCTAGACTTACCATCGCAAGCTTGCCCATGATGCTCTAGGATGCTTCCCTCTAAAGCGCGCACCCACGATGCATACATACCACTCACGCGCAATACATGTGCTCCTCCCACCACAAAGGCTCCCGATGATGCAACCACTGGCCACACCTGCTCCAGAGACTGAGGTACGAAGCCCACGATGGCCCTGTTGGAGCCCCAAAGGTCGCTGGGAATGTAGAACGACGGACCTGTCGCCTCAACGGCCGCCTCTGGTGAAACGCCTACCTCTGGGGGGGAAGTATCTTCAGCCTCATTTAAAGGGCGGGAGTTGGGGTTGGGGTGCTCATCATTTTGCTGATTCGGGCAACCTTGAAATGGAGGCCCGTCGAATTGAAACTCTCGAGACCAGGGGTCGATTTCCCCGCCCCAATACCGCGAGCCAGAAACCTGAAAAAAAAGATCCTCATCTTCCCCGGGAGAAAAATTAGGACCCGCTTGGTTCTCTTCGGCCTGGTGTTCCTGGGTCTGAAACAAATCGCCGAAAAACTGCTGACGGGCTTCTTGAAACCTCTGCTTAAAAATCTGTGTGACGCCCCTGTTTTCTCCGCTTGCTAGCTTGAGACTTGCTGCCTACTTGCGCTGCCTGACCTGGGCGCTGCACCCGCGGCAACTTCCTCGGGGGGGAACAAGGGAACGCGCGATGAGTTGTAGCCCCTCGCTCCGAAGACGCAGCCGGTGCCCGCAGTGTGTGCCCCACGGCACATCTAGGACTGCAGCCAACCCTAAAACTTATGGAGCGGCCGTCTTTGAGGCTAAAACGAAGTCTATGTGTGATGCTCCTGTACCTGTAATACACGTGCGTTCTACTTCCGAAGTGAAAACAACCCCGCCGACCTTCTCTATGCACCCGCACTTAGCGAAGTCCTTGGGGCTCATATTGAAGTCTCCTACCATAATCCACGGGAGCTGCAACGAGGCTAAAAGAGCCCAAACTCTGGACAGCCTCCGTGCCTTGCCCCCGTTGAAACCCAAGGAGGAGATTCCGCACAAGGAATGCAAAACTAAACTACATCCCTGAAAATGCACGATAACAGGAAGAAACCCGTCAAAGGCATCTGCGGTTTCACAAAGCTCGGAATAATCGCTGGGATTGCCAAACGTGTGAACCTGTCTATGGCCCTGAGTCAAAATCAATTCGCCTCCCTCACCCTTAGCTGCTTCGCTGGTGACAGCTCCTGGGCGAGGATGGTTGAAAAAGGCTCTAAATTTGCCGACACGGAACTTACTAGACCATTCCTGAAGTTGAGGCTTCTGCAAGTGAGTCTCAGTGAAAGCAAAAATCTGATGCTGTGACCGAATAGACCTGGATGAAACGCACTTCCATGCCTTGGGGCCCCAACACGTGACATTGCTGAAAAAGAGAGAAGTGAACGCCTCTTGCTGCGTCTCTCCAGCACTTGACGATGCCTCCCCCCTTTGCGGGTTCGGCTCACTAGATGCCAAAGAAGCCGTCGAAGAGGTTGCCTGACTCGAAGGTGTCGTCGCGCAGACTGCAGGCTCGTCCGCACTATGTCGATCTCACTCTGCCACTTGTTGCTTCCTGGCCTCTGCTGCGGCTGCGAGCTTGGCCTCTGAAATCTTCGTGGCTGCTTCTTGCATTGCTGCCTCATGTGCCTCCTTCTGCGAGGGGTCCGTAGCCTCCTGGGCTCGGGTATCGGCGTTCGTCGGTGCTCGGGACTGCTGTCCTCCACCGGTGCCTCCGCCGTCCCCACCGCCCGCCGTCGGCTTGGACTCTCCCTCTGGGACCTTACGCTTTTTGTTCAACCTCTCCGTCGCGAGCATCTTCAAGGTCTCCATGCGGTTCTTCCACTCTTGAACTCGGCTCCCTCGATCGTTGAGATTGGATCTGGCTTCACGTAATTGACGCTCAAGTTCTCGTAGCTCGGTCTTCTCTCCCTCCTTACATTCATATTCGTCCAGCCTGCTGAAGAACTCCTCATCCCAGCTCAGGTCGAACATGTTTGGCTCCTTACCACCACCTTTCCGAGGGGATACACCGATACCTATTCCAGATTCTTGAGCAAGTGCTGTAATTGCTCTCTTTTTCTCATAGTCGGCCTTTGCCAAAGCTAAGGCACAATCTCGTTCGCGGTCTTCAGCTCGTTGAAGGTCCTCTCTGCATTTGATAACTTGCGCCGCAGATTGCTCATGTTTGAACGAACAGTCTTTCCAAACACTGTTGCCCCTCTGCATGGCCTCCTCCGAAGATACAGGCTTGGATGTTGGCTGGCCGTCAACCTTGATGGCGCTCATCTCTTGCAGCAGGATCTTCTTGGTGTTGAGTTCGGTGGCGGCTGCAACTTCTTTGGCGAGCATGGCCTTGATCTCGGCGGGACTTGCGTCCTTGCCTTTGCCTTGACCTCCTTTACCACCACCACCATCACTCACTACAAACAAATGATTCCCGCTGACATTGTCACTCTGATCGCCTGGTTTCTGCTTCGGCTTGTATACGTTGACACTACACCGACACTTGGAGCACTGATTGTTCTGCCCACTGAGCACGCCATCGCAGAAAAAGACGGGACGGGCCTGGTCTTGGCCCTGCTCTCGCTGCCAGTAACTGCTGCTCACTCGGAGCGGAAGGACTGGCACCCCTCAAGCACCACGTGGAGACGCAGGGTTGGGCCCGGGTGCCAGCAAAATGCGGCTCGAGCCCAAGTTGCTTGAGGGGAGGAGGAGGAGGACGGGAGGACGGAGGAGGAGGGGAGGAGGAAGGAGGAGGAAAGAGGAGGAACAGGAGGAGGAGGAGAAGGAGGAGGAGGAGGGGGAGGAGGAGGAGACGGAGGAGGAGAATGAGAATGATAATGTCGGTTCACTAAGTGAGGAAAATGGGCTTTAAAGGGGGAAGGACTTCCTCGAGTTGGCCTGTCGGTTGGCCCGTTCGGCATTGCCCAAGACCTTCGGCCACTGTCTCGAGAGACTCCTCCATATATACTCTTCACCCGTCGCCGTGGCACGCAACTGACATCGGTCATGGAGGGTGGACTTCCGCTTGCTGGAGAATGACCCACAGACCCCACGTAACCACAAACTAAGATACGTGCTCAGCTTCATTTGGTGACTTCCGTGCACCCAGCCCCCCACTAAGTGTAGCTTCTGATCTACTGGGAGTGTCTGAAATTCGCCATTTCCGTTCAGAGGCAACAAAAATAAAGGGGACCGTTTCCAGTCGGTGGCTCTGGCCTGGGTGGTCGTGGCAAAACACCTGCAGCATTTCAAGCCCAAAATCATCGAGCTGGTGCTGTGACATAGGTGCAGCTACTACAGACGGTGCAGGAGGAGGGGGAAGAGGAGGAGGAGGAGGAGGAGGAGGAGGAGGAGGAGGAGGAGGAATAGGACCCGCCTTATCGTTCACCCCCTTCTCGACCTCCGCGGCCAGCACATCCACACAAGCTCGAAGCAGCCTGTGCCGAACCAGAGAAGCACGCCGCTCGACTTGCCAGAGCTCGTGTCGAACATGCTTGGGCAGCCATGCTTGGAGGGCGGCTAATCTAACTGGCTCATCAATGATAGTGTTGCCCACAACCTGCCATGACTCTGCACGATCTCGACAGACATATTCGCCTGCGAAGTGGGAATTCACGAAACGGACATCCACGAGCTCGGACAACCGGTGCGCAAGCAACTGGCCGATCCTAGCCCACTCGTCGCTGTCCTCCCCGTAGTGGTGGATGTACCTCTGGGCCTGCCAGCCCTTGAATACGTTCTCGCAGCCCGTGGTGTAAATGATCGCGCCCTGACTCGCCCATACAGCTAACCAAAGGGCGCAGAGTTCTCCGCGCCCAACAACCTGCCGACTGCCAGCCAACGGACCTGTGGTGAAACACTCGACGTCAGGGTTGATGTAGTCAGCGACCGTGGCGATCCCGAGGGCAACTCTTCTCAATCGGGGATCAGCGGTGTCTGGGCCGCCGCTGGCGTCTCCGAATATGACCGTAAGTGCAGCAACAGATCCCACTGGCAAACGACCTTCGAACACTCCGTCATTCAGACCTTCACTGTACCAACAATGATTACCTGGAGCGGGAGGCATCTTGGTCCAGCCAGCTGGAATGAGGCCGCGAAGCCAGAAGCACTCGTGCATCTCGTGCTGTGTCATGGCCTCCCCCTCCAAGCACTCGCTCTTGGTGTAAGCTGCAGAACCACTGTTCTTGGAGCGGCTCCAGTACCGATGATACGATGTCTCCCGCCCGCACCCACAACGATCACACTACACATCATGCGAGGCACCCCGCATATCCACTGCTGACCACTCGATGCTCCGTGGTCGGGGCAACTGCTCATCTCTCCTGGCCTTGGGCCAAGCACCACCCGCAACTATGTTGAGAAGAAAGTCCCGCGAGCCGAGGGCCTCCAGGTCGAACACTTCGAAGTTGATGCAACCATCTCCTCTTCCTCCTCCTCCTCCTCCTCCTCATCATCATCCTCCTCCTCCTCTTCCTCCTGAGCGAGTAGGTATCGATACCCCCGCCCAGGCCTTCCGCGTCAGAGTGGCGCTCGGCATGTCGCCAGAAGGGCGCCACAGCTGCAGCTTTGGCGTCGGCAGTGAGCTCCTTGAAAGTATCTAACGCAGGAGTGCCTGTGACATTCTCGTCTGGGCAGTCCCACTTGAAATCTCCAAGTGGCTCCCAAGACGTTGGGGTCTGAGGGACCCAACCCAAACCAAGCATATACGATGTAATAGCTGACATCGGCCCACGTATGTGCCGACTGCGCTGTGCCTCAGGAGCACTCTCCAGATGAGCTCGAACTTGTGGCCATGCTCGAGCAACGGCTCCACGTAGCTGCGGTGGATCGCGCCACTGCTGAAGCCAGAGCTCCAACGTCCCTGCTGCAAGCTTCCCCGCTGGATCTAGAGAGGGCGTCTCGATGGCCGCAGAGTAGTGAGGCAGCGCCCCTTCGTCTTGGCGCTGCAGGCAGCTCCAAGGCGGCGTCGGTGTGCCATAAGCTGAGATCCGAATGCTCCATGCAACTGGTATCCATAGCTGCCCGCCGACGCTGCCCCTCGACGTTCGAGGCGAGGTGTCAACTGCGCTCTTCTGAAAACCTCTGTGTCGCGAACCACCTTCTGATGTCTGAGAACGTGCTTGAGATTGCGCCTCGTGCGTTGCTCACGTGCGTGCCGTCTGCCAGCACCGAGGTCCACTCCCAGGTACGACGTCTGTCTGGCAGGCGTAAGAAAGATTCCTCTGCTCCTCAGCGCTCGTGCGATCGCCATCGCGTCGCCGCGATGGGAGCACGTGATGACGGACTTGGGCGCGATCGACAAGCTCTGTGACCGCAAGCCCGCCGAGATACACTTGATGAGGTTCTGCTTCACGACCTGCCGCGAGCCCTTGGTTGCCTGCGACAGGTCGTCTATCCAAAGCCTATGACTGCAACGCACGTGGACGGTGCTGGTGCGTTGCATGATGGAATACGTGCAGAAGGAGGAGGAGGAGGAGGAGGTGGAGGAGGAGGAGGAGGAGGGAGAGGAGGAGGAGAAGGAGGAGGAGGAGGAGCAGGAGGAGGAGGAGGAGGAGGAGGAGGAGGGCTCCGCGGGACGCGGGCCTCGGAGGACGCCAGCGAGCACGCCGACACCCGGGGGCTTGGCAGGGCCCACCCTGCGCGGCGCATCGGCGCGCACGCCCTGGCAGGCGGGGCCGGGACGGCGTACAGGCAAAGTCCATCGCAGGGGTGCAGGGTCCGAGCAGATGGGGTAGGAGGATCGCGCCGAATCGCGAATGCATCGAGCATAGACCAGCGACGTCGGCAATGCATCGGCGACGTTGGCCTGGAGAGAATCGGGCTCCACAGTTCAGCCGCATCGCCGATGCATCGGCGATGCGGCGCGATCCTCCGACCCCATCTACTCGGACCTCGTTTGGGAAGCCTCAGAGCTCCTTGGACGTCAACATTGGCTCGGGATGGGCCGAAGAAGTACAGTAAAAACGTATAAGAAGGACGGGTGGTAAGGACGCAAGACGCTTGAAGGCCGAAGCTGGGACTTTTTGGGCGGCCGGCGACCAAAACCCCAGGGACGCAAGTGGAAACGGCAACGGACAGGCCGCAGAGGCAAGGACGCAAGGGCACCCCAGAAAAAGGCGCGCGTCCTTACTATGCGCGTTGACTGTAGGGATGCATGGGGTAGCCTCGACGAAGCGGCGAACCCTTCCTACGGGTTTTGACTGTGCACGCCGAGCCTGGGCTCCGGCTCTGCCATGATCAGGGAGACGCAAGACTCGGGTCTGGGGGACGCAGGTTGGGCTGACGGGGCCGTGAGAAGAATGACCAGACCCAGGCCGAAAGTCGACGCGAGCCCCCACTGCAGACATCCGACCAGAATATGACCGTCAGAATCCGGGAGGTGCCCGTCACGAAAGCGTCGGCAAGTCCGAGCTCTGGCGAGCTCGAGTCTTGCGCTTCCCTGACATGAGAAGAAAGAGCGACGATCGCAAACGGGTCTTACGCGATATGGCATAGCGACCTTACGCGGTGATTTACGCGGGCCGCCCGCGCGGCACGTCACATTTGAAGCGAGGGCGCTTACGCGCGACCTTCCGCGGGCAGCTTACGCGCCAATGTCGGCGCAGACGACCCCGTCATTTGGAGTCGCTCAACCGGGTGTTCTGAGGGGAACGGGTCCTGGAACCCAGGACCTTTCTTCAGCCCGAGTCGCTTAAGGGGCCAGGGGAAGGCCCCAGATGGCCAAAAACGCAACAAAAGCCCAGAAGCCCTTCCCCTCATAGGGGACTACATGCGAACCCTACCCCTACCCCCCACGATTTCTGAGGGGGGGTGGGGTTCACTTCGCTCGGGAGCTCCCGAACGGAGTGAGCCCCACCCTACCCCTCAGAAGTCGTGGCGGGGTAGGGATAGGGTTCGCATGTGGCCCCCTACCTCAGCCCATCATCTCGACGTGGCGATTCTCTCACGTCGTGGACCCCAGAGGTCTAGACCCCTTCCACGTGGCAAACTTGCCATCCCGAATAGTTGCTTTATGGCCCCGTGGCCCGGCGAGGGCCCACAGAGGCCTAAACTGACCAACAGAAACGCACGACATGATTTGCGCGACGAGCAGACCGTTTGGCGGCAGTCCGCGAACGCTCGCGGCGAGGCGCAGCTCGTAACGATCCGGGCACCGAGCGAACGCTCTCGGCGAGGCGCAGCTGCCTGAAAGCACCCAGAGGCTGGACAACCGAAGGGAACCAACGAGGACGTCCGAAGACCTCGAACCTCGAACTTGGGGAGGGGCGAGGTCCGCCGAGCGGCGCGGTCACTCGAGCTCCGCGAGCTCCGGCACCGCGCACTCCTCTGCCGCCGCCTGGACCGCCTGAGACGTGGACCCCAAAAGCCACAGCCAGCGACCAGAGCCCCGCTCCTCATCCTTACTCCTGCTCCCTCCTCCTCCTCCTCCTCCTCCTCCTCCTCCTCCTCCTCCTCCTCCTCCTCCTCCTCCTGCCCCTCCTCCTCTTCCTCCTCCTCCTCATCTTCCTCCACGTCCTCCCCCTCCTCCTCCTCCTCCTCCCTCCTCGTCTCCTCCTCCCTCCTCCTCCTCCCTCCTCCTGCCGCCTCCTCCTCCTCCTTATCCTCCTCCTCCTTATCCTCCTCCTCCGTCTCCTTCCTCCTCCTCCTCCCTCCTCCTCTCCTCCTCCTCCCCTCCTATAGAGGAGAAGAGGGGACTCACATCTCATATCAATCAGCATCATCATCATCACGCATCAGCAAATCATCATCATCATCATCATCATCAGACATCACTCATCAGCATCATCATCATCATCATCAATCATCATCATCTCATCATCATCATCATCATCAATCATCATCATCATCATCATCCTCATCACATCAGCATCACATCATCCATCATCATCATTCACATCTCATCATCATCATCATCTCAACATCTCACAACATCATCCATATTCCTCCTCCTCCTCCTCCCCACCCCCCTTCCTCCTCCTCCGTCCGCCTATTCCTCTCCCCCCCCTCCTCCTCCTCCTCCTCCTCCTCCTCCTCCGCCGCCTCCCCGCCTCCCCCTTCCTCCTCCTCCTCATATTCCTCCTCCCCCTCCTCCCCCTCCTCCCTCCTCCTCCTCCTCCTCCTCTCCTCCTCCTCCTCCTCCTACCTATCCTCCTACTCCTCCTCCTCCCTGCTTCCGCCACTACCCATCCTCCTCCCCCCCACCCCCTCCTCTGCCTCATCCCCCTCCTCCTCCTCCTCCTCCTCCTCCTCCTCCTTCTCCTCCTCCTCCTCCCTACTCTTTCCTCCTCCTCCTCCTCCTCGCTCCTCTCCGCCTTCCTCCTCCTCCTCCTCCGCCTCTTCCTCCTCCTCTCTCCTCCTCCGCCTCCTCCTGCTGCTCCTCCTCCATCCTCTCCTCCTCCTCCTCCTCCTCCTCCTCCTCCTCCTCCTCCTCCTCCTCCTCCTCCTCCTCCTCCTCCCTCCTCCCCTCTGCCTTTCCCTACGTCCCTCCTCCTCCTCCTCCTCCTCCCCCTCCTCCTCCTCCTCCTGCCCCTCTTCCTCCTCCTCCTGCTGGTCCCCCTCCTCTTTCATCATTACTCCATATGAATACGACTCAGAAGAACTACTCTCGTCTGTCCCCTGAGTCTGTGGCGGAATCTGTCTCGGAGTGGTCGGCCTCCCCTCGCGTACTGATTGTGTTCCGCACGCGATGCCGGCGAGCTGTGTTTTTTCAAAACGCTGGTCTCGGTGAGGCGGTGGCCTCATTTTCGGGTTTCCGCTCGTTCCGAATCGTGCTCCCGCTGCAACACTGGTTTCATGTCCGCGCTTCCGTTTATTCCGAATCGTGCTCCCGCTGCAACGCTGGCCATATTTCCGCGCTTCCGCTCGTTCCGAATCGTGCTCCCGCTGCAGCGCTGGCGTCAGTACTTCCAGCGCAATCCAAGGCATGGGTTTCGGTCCTTCCAAATACGACCCAAAAACTAAAAAATGACCCCCAGAAGCAACCATCGGAAGTGATTCAGCATCCGGTGCCGAAGCCCCCCCCCCACTTTGGGGCGTCAGGCCACGCGTTGATCTTCAACACCATGCTGTGCCATGTGGTGCTGTGCCCTGCTGCGACGTCCGGCTGTGCGAACGGAAAGGCGATCCGCGCCATGGCACGGGATGGGAGGGAGCCCGCCCTCGCCCCTCCGGGCCTGTCCCGGGAGCGGCCGCCACGGGGGGTCTCCCTGAGCTGGGGGGAGGCGCTGGCCGCGTGGCCCCTGGGCTTCCCCCGGGGCAGCCGCCGCGCCTGCGGAGCGCGGCGTGCGCAGTCTGTTGGTGAGGATTGGGAGGAGGAGGAGGAGGAGGAGGAGGAGCAGGAGGAGGCGGAGCAGGAGGAGGCGGAGGAGTAAGATGAGGAGGAGGAGGAGGAGGAGGCGGAGGAGGAGGGGGTTGGAGGAGGAGGGGGAGAGCCGTCGCACACCGCGAGAGAGCGAGGTAAGGATGCCGAGGCCCTCGGGCGCCCCTGGACGGCACGCCGGGGAGGCTCACGAAGAGGGCCGAAGGTGGGCTGGCAAGGCGAGGGCCTGGTCGGAGGAGCAGGAGCGAAGAGGTGCAGAAACACAAGCACGAACTGCCGAAGGTCCGCGCGGTTTTTCGGGTCGGCGCTGGACCCCCCTCCCCGGGCGCTCGGAGCGTGCAAGGGGCGGCGCCGGAACCCAAGAAGTCTTGGCGAACCTCCGAAAGTACATGCCTGTACAGCTTCGTCCTTATTTGAAGGACGCAGGGGTACAGCAGAGAAAGAGAGTGAGAGAGAGAGAGAGCGAGCGAGAGAGATATATAGAATGTGCACGAGACGCCCCTAGAAGGAATGCACGGGGGCACCTGCTGCTAGGCTGGCTCCTCGTTGTGCGTGCCCTCTGCATGCTCGGAGAACGGCGACGTCCACGGGAGGGGCTGCGGCTCTGGTCTCGGGAGCGCCCACGAGGAGGGGCGCCCGCGAGGGCGAGTCGCACCGTCATGGCCCGAGGCTCGTGCGCGAACCAGGGGGGGCAAAGGGACGCACTGAAATGAGAGGAGGGGGGCGTGAAGCCCCGGGGGATGGTCGGGCCCCGGCCCAGGTTTCCACCTCCCCGTACAGGCACTACCCCCCCATAGCCTCGCCGCCCCCAGCAGCGGGGCCTCGAAGCAGAGAACCGGCTTGCGGCGGGCTTGTCTGGCTGGTCGGAAGTACGGCCCCCTGCCTGCTCGGAGCCACCTGGGCGTGCGCCCAGGCCGCGCGACTGGTGGCGCTCCTGTGCAAGAGCGGCCCCTGCGAGGGGGCCGTGGAGGCCCGCTTCGAAAAAAAAAAACGGGGCATCCCTCCCTCCGCCTCCGCGCGGCGAACAAATCGCGGTGGACCATGTTGCGCCATTCTCGCTCTCCTGGGGCCCTCGCTGGGCCCCGGGACCGTCAACAAAAACTGCAGTCAGGACGCCGAGATAGGGAACAGCTTGGGTTCGCAAGGGGCTCGATGTTCCTCGGGTTCCTCCAGTGCCGTTCCTCTTGCCCTCCTGGGGCACGGAGGCGCTTACGGTGCCAAGAAGGGGCTTCGTTCCACATTTAGCGTTCCTTCTTTCAGCTGCCCGACCTGAAGGGGCCCCAGGACACACAACTAAAGACATACAAAGAACAGGAGCCCCCATATCTTCCCATAGCTTCTGGGGTTCTCCCCCCCCCCCCCCACTTCCCATGTTTTCCCACATCTTTCTGGGAATCGACGATGCACTGTGCCCGTGTGCGTCCTCCCCTCCTCAGGGGGGCGTCGCTCCTTCTCGGCGCCCCACAAACGGGGACTCCACTAACGGGTACTTTGGCCAGTGACCCAGCGAACCCAACCCTTCCCGATGCGGGCAACGCTGCATTGCCAGAAAGAGGCCCTAAAGTGGCAACTTTCGGCAAAATTTCAAAGTACCCGTTAGTAAGTACCCGTTACGGTGCCGTTGACCTTCTCTGGCGCCTCCTCCCTCCAGCGGGCCGCCGACGGCACCCCCGGGAGGCACCCCGACGGCCCCGAGGCCGGGGCCCAGACCTCCGGGGGACCCACGGCGCGGGCAGACGCACCACGCCGGAGGCCCGGGGACCCTGGAGCACCCTCCGCGCCCTCCACGCCCGCGGCTATAGGGGAACGAACAATAGGCTACCGGGGGAACGAACAATGCCATAAACATAAAAAACAATGACATTTGACATAAACAATCGACTTGGGGAACGAGCAATATACGAGGGGAACGAACAATGACATACACAGAAAACCTCGGAGGTCCGCGCGGATTTCACGGATATCGGCGCTGGGCCCGGCGGCGCCTCCGGCGCCGCCCCTGGCAAGCTCCGCGCGCCAGGGAGGGGGGCCCAGCGCGGATCCAAGACATCTGCGCGGACCTCCGAGTTTGCATGTTTGTGTCGTTGTTCGTTCCCCTAGCTACGGCCTGCTCGACCAGGTCCGAGATGATCTTCCCGGCGACCACGGTAAGCGCCGCGCCCGCGGCGTAGGCGTACGGCGGGACGTCGATGCCGTCGCCGACGGCGGCCGAGAGGTACGAGAGGCCCGCGAGCCACGGGCTGTAGCCCAGGACCGTGGCCGCCAGGTAGTCGACGGCGCCGACGCGGCTCAGGCCCAGGGCGTAGCAGGAGGCCGCGTACCTTGGGGGAACCAAAAGGTGCCGATACCGCTACTCTCCGGACCTCTCCTGGCCCCGGAAACGGCAGCCCAGAACATCCGCGACCGGAAATTTTCGGTAGCGATTTTCGTTTTTTCTGAATTCCAGGCGTTCCCGCAGAGGGCCAAATTCCAGTAACGAAGGGGACCTTCGCGACCGGAAAAAAAATCGGTCGCGACCGGACGAAATTCGGTCGCGACCGAGGGGCAAATTTCGGTAACGGCAAAACGAAATTCGGTCGCGACCGAGGGGCAAATTTCGGTAACGGCAAAACGAAATTCGGTAGCGATCGAGCGTGAATTTCGGTAGCAATCTCCTCCAGTGCCATCCTCATCGCCGTCGCGAGTGCGCGAGGTGTGATGATGTGATGTGATGGTGATGGTGATGATGATGACGACGATGTTGATGGTGATGAGGATGGTGGTGAAGAGGATTGTGAACGATACGTATGAGGAGCTGGGCTAATCAACCTTCCAAGTGGGCCACACGGCTCTGGAGGATGAGGGGGGAGCATACATGGACCAGGGAGGGCGGGATGATGATGATGATGATGATGATGGTGGTGATGATGATGATGATAATGATGATGATGATGATGATGATGATGACGACGATGATGATGATGATGCTGATGATGATGGCGAGGAGGATGATGAGGACCTGGAGCAGGAAACAGACTATGATGAGGACTAGTAAGTCTTGCGACGGTGCATAGACCTATGATGCATGATGGTGGTCTGATGTTCTCTGCACGCAAGCAGTCAGCCCCGCGACTGCGCTGCTGCCGACGGAGCACTGGACGCACTTCGCATGATGTCTAATCTCGCCTCGCCCGCCGCCTCCTCATCCGCCTTCCTATCCCTCGCCCGCCCTCCTAACCCTCACCCGCGCTATGGATTCTCCCTTCTTACTCGCTCTCCTCCTCCTTCACATGCAATGCGCCGCGCCGCGGCACCCAAATGAAATTGAACGAAACGGGATTGCTTCGACGCTGCCGACTAATGAACATATTCTCGCCCACTACGGGCGCGACATCCTAATCCTGCGGCCGAGTTCGTACAGCGCCGTCTCAGAGAGATCGTAGGACTCATAGGCACGCACCGCGGTAGAAGGCGCGCCAGAGCAAATTCCACAAGCAACAAATTCGAAGCAAATCGGATCGAAGAGCAAATTCCACAAGCATCAAATTGGAGCGCCAGCCCCGTTCCCTGCTTCATTGGCCCAAACAGCGGCTGTGGGAGACGACCACAAAGTAAATGACGGCGCCAGCACAGCACTGAAGAGAGCACCATTGCAAAAGGATAGCTGAGCACGTGGCAGCGCAGATGACCCAACTTATTGAAGCCAGCCGAACTGCAAGAGCACCATACCCGAACAAAAGGTAACGATAACGTGAACCCAAATTCATTGAGCCTCCGTCTCAGCACCCGATGTCGGCTCTGTAGCAGATAATGTGCAGCGCTCCGCAAACATCCACATGACAGCGGCATTGAGTTTGGCCCTCGGATGGATGCGTCTCGCAAGCTCGTCGGCACTATTGATGACGACCGTGTCCGCGCTGACTGCTGCGAGCTGCTCGTCCAAAACTCGCTCCATCTGATGATCCACGGCATGATCCCAGTATGAGGCGTACGGTCCTGACCAACGACTCATGCGACGAAACTCGTGATTGCGTAAAAGGAAAGGCGCTGGCTCCCTCGGAATGGCAGCGGCTCCCATAGCCCTGCAGACAGCAACTGCGCAGGAGTGACACATGGAACCGTCCCATTGAGCTGTGAAAGCAACATGCCAGCGCCATACAGTGGCTTGATAAACCAGTGCTTCTAAATTGAAACTTCCGTCTCGCTCTAAATAGTTGCGAAGCTGAAACGGCCCATCCGGAGTGCCTCGCATGACCAAATCACTCCCGTGGACGAGCGGGCGCAAGGCCGCCGTTGGGTCACTGTGCGTAGTCCCTTCCATGGGTCTGTAATTCGGGATCGGGCGTAATGAAGCCGTGAAACTGGGCACCGCGGCGATCCGCATGCAGTCCGTGCGCCGTGCAATCTCTATGATCGTGGCGTTTGGAAGCTGACCATGGAGCGCCTCATATATGAGCTGGTCGTAAAGAAGCCTGCGGGTCGTAGCGTCGATCTGCCTCTGACCAAGGCATCGACGCAAGAGGCAATCGAGGTCATCGCGAAACGAGAGCGGCGGACAGACGCAGGATACCACAACCACTGCTGGCACCGCTGTAAGGGCTGACCTAAAAAGGTCAAGTAAATCTCGTTCTTGCACGCTGACCCCTAGTTCCCGCAGAGCTTGAGCATGGTGCTGTTCCAGTACACTGATGTCAACGTCTGATGCCTCCCAGTACTCCAAGAGATTAGGATCCATAGCGCCGATGGTCTGTGCCTGTCCAGACCAGGGTGTGGGGCGTCACCAGGGGCCCCCACGCAAGGAACCCTCCTGGCCGTGCCGACCCTTGAAAGGGCCAGACCACCGAAGCACCCTCCCCTGTGAGTCGGAATGCTCCTCTCCAGCGTCGGAAAAGACTTCCTCGTTTCTGTCAAGCACGAGCGCCTGCGCACCACGCACCACGAGGCGGCGCGAGGACTGGCCAAGTAGGAGCGCACAAAATGTGGCAAGGAGGGCGTATGGTGTAAGGACCACCCAGTAAACCCACCCGCCCCCGCTCGGGCCAGAGTTGCTCGAGACGAGGTGAAGGGAAGTGAGAAGGGACGAGGGGGAGATGGAACACCTTGTTGCGGCCTCAGCAACTGCGCCATCAACTAGGACGCCGGGTAGGGCGCAGGGCACAGGTAGGGCGGTCGCGTGGGGAGTCGGGTGGGGCTGCGCCTTGGCCAGGGGGTCGGGTAGGGTGGTCGAGCGCCACCAGGGGGCAGCGGACCACAGGCGGGGGGGGGAGGAGGAGACACGGTGGATGAGAGGGGGGGGGGGGTAGGAATCGGAGGATCATAGTACTTCCTCCCCCCCGTCTTATGGGGGCGTTGCTAGGTTGCGTTGGTTGCGCTGGGGCCTAAAACCGCTACGCGGCGGAAGATCGCACCACATGGATGGCACCATATATATATATATAGATTCATGAGTTGCGCCATATAGGTAGCACCACGGAAGATTGCACAGAACCATCGACTCGAACATGTAAGTTGCATCACATTGCGTGCACCACACACGTTGCACCAGCGCTTGTGGCTCCATATTGATTGCGCTACATAGGTTGCACCACATATATTACATTTGGTTGCTCCACATATATTGCACCGCATACAGTGGCCGTGGCCGTGGTAGTGGTAACGGTGGTAGTACTCGTGTTGATGATGATGGTAGTGGTAATGATTGTGGCTTTGGAGGCAACGGGAGATACATGAACTGGTGGATTGATGCGCAACCCGTTTCCATCTCGAGAGACCGCACCTTCGCGCGGATCGCACATGCTGCATCGCGCGGCCACGCCTTCAAATTTGGGCAACAGTGAACATGGGTCCAGAGCTCTTCTTCCTCCTATTCGTTATCCTCCTATTCCTCCTCCTCCTTTTCCTCCACCCGTTCGCGGCCGAACCGCGTTCAATCCGCAACTAAACGTGACATCTCGAAATCCGCCCGTGCCCAGCGGGCACCATGCCGACGTTCTCTGTCGCCTTGATTTTCCCTTCGTCGGCTATTTCGGCATAGACCCATTAACCCCTCCCCTCTCCCCTCAGTCATCTCATGTTTCCAGCTTCAACCCGCCCCTCCCCTCCAACCGCCAAATGGGCAGTGCGGGAGCAGATGCATCGCGAAGCGTGCGTCATACCTCCCTATGCGCCAACGGTTGCACAGCTTATGCGAAAAAATTGAAATGCTGCTGCCGACCATGATGGAGGCACACACGCGAACGATATGCCTCATGAAGTCTTCTGCCTGATAGCACCAGAACCACCGTGGGTTCATGAATTCTGAAGATTGGGCTATGTGCCAAAAATAATGATGTTTGTTCACCGTGCTCCACTTCAGCTGCTTCTCATCCCTCGCTCGGCTGGCTAAAGCTCCATAAAAAATTAAACAGCGCTCGACTGAAGTCATGCACGTCCTGTGCTGATCGGGCGTCATATACATGCCAGACGATTCCACCACTTTGTAATACTCGCTGAGATGCTCTACGCACTTCGTGCGCATACGTCGAAAGGGTGATCCATCGTCGTAGTGCTCCTTGAGCACGGCTAACATCACTGGCACCAGATGTCGTTGTTTGGCGGCTTTTACTTCCTTCTTGAAACAAGGATAATCCCCATGAGGTGTTTTTTTCGTTGCTGACGAAATATCTCAGACCGAATTGTCCCCCTGCCTGGCAATTTCCAGGCTGGCGGCACGTTCGCCCCGTCGCCTCCTCGCTATTTCTCTAAGCCTCCAACCCCATCCGCCGCGCCTCTCCCCCCTCCATTTCCTTATCCCCACCCCCCATTCCACCGTCATTAGATTATCCTCCGGATCCGCATCCTTCCTATCATCTCTATCTCCTCGTCCCTTTTCTTCCTCCCCATCGTCAGTATCCTCATCTTCCGCGCACCCCAACTGTTCCTCATCCTCCACCTTGTCTTCCCCCTGTCATACAATAACATCCTGATCCTCATCGTCATTCTGGTCAGCGTGAAATGCTTATGCATTGGGCGGGCGGCTCGCGCAGCATTCACGAATGAAATCCGATGTTTAGTCCCCTGCTCCTTATACTCATCCTGGATACGCCCCCAAAGCTCGGCGACAGCTTGCTTGACAGTTTGCCTGGGCCGACGCTGTTCGAATACAATCTCGTAGCAGCAAGTCCCGAGGATATGGCTGGTTACTCCTAGGTCCACTGTGCGCATGGAATCGATCGCGAGGGCGCAGCCCGTGACCCCGTAGATTTCAAACAGCGGGTGGTCGAATTTGTACGGGCGGTCTGGCCGAGATTGAAGCATCCAATGGTTTGGGATCCGCTCCTCGCAGATGTTTCCTTAGTA